GACAACAACAACGACAACAACAACAACAACGACAACGACGACAACGACAACGACAACAACGACAACAACAACAACAACAACAACGACAACAACAACAACAAAACAACAACGACAACAACGACAACAACGACAACAACAACAACAAAAACGACAACGACAACAACAACAAAAACAACAACGACAACAATAACAACGACAACAACAACGACAACAACAACAACAACGACAACGACGACAACGACAACGACAACAACAACAACAACAACAACAACGACAACAACAACAACAAAACAACAACGACAACAACGACAACAACGACAACAATAACAACGACAACAACAACGACAACAACAACGACAACGACGACAACGACAACGACAACAACGACAACAACAACAACAACAAAAACAACAACAATGACAACAACAACAAAACAACAACGACAACAATAACAACGACAACAACAACGACAACAACAACAACAACGACGACAACGACAACGACAACAACGACAACAACAACAACAACAACGACAACAAAACAACAACAACAACAAAACAACGACAACAACGACAACAATAACAACGACAACAACAACGACAACAACAACAACAACGACAACGACGACAACGACAACGACAACAACGACAACAACAACAAAAACAACAACAATGACAACAACAACAACAAAACAACAACGACAACAACAACAAAAACAACAACGACAACAACAACGACAACAATAACAACGACAACGACGATGGGCGGTTAGAGTCCGACATTGTTGTTGTTGTTGTTGTTATTTCGCTCCAGATTTGCCCCTAAATTCCGCAATAATGCGTTAATTAATCTGGAGGGATGGTGGAGGGGTGGTGGTGGGGTGGTGGTGGTGGTGGTGGAGGGATGGTGGTGGAGGGGTGGTGGAGGGATGGTGGAGTGGTGGTGGTGAGGCGTTCCCCCTGTCCGGTCGAGTCCTCTCCGCCCCGTTCTTCCCTCCCGGTGTGACTCTCTTTTACCTCTCACGAGGGTGGGTGGGTGGGTGGTGGGTGTGTTGAGGCTTTCGAAGTGAAACATTTCATCATCTTCTTTGGTTGATTCGGTAAAGTCACCACCACCACCACCACCACGTGGAACGACAATAAAACAACAAATTGATCAAATAAAATAACACTATAAAATCCTCGCGACGTTTCGGCCACAACACAAGCGGCCTTCATCAGGTGGGGGGGACGAGACTGTCTGGAGGACAGCCGCTGGAGCGAACGCAGCCACGCTCAGATCCTCCGCGACCTTTAAGCTGCGTGAGATGAAAAATCGTGGTGAGAATTTTTACTGCGCCATTCTATTTGATCAACGTATTGTTTTACTCTCATGCCACGTGTTTTTTTTACCGGAAGAGCCGAAGAAGATGATGAATCCTTGCAGTCGCGAAAGATTCAAATCGAAATTTAATGCATTTTATTTCACCTCGTACAGCCTGACCCCGTACCACTTGTGTAGCTGTGATTCTGCGCGTGACTCAAGCTATGCTTGCAAGCAGTGTTTACAGCCCTTCCATCGTGGTGATTTCTATTTTTATTTTTAACAGGGGTTGCCTGCATATACCAATTCACATCACGTGCTGTTGGAAGACAAAGGCGGTTGGGAAACTCTCTATCTCTCTTGCTTGTGTAAGACCGACCTATTTCGCCTCATCTCTTCAGGATAACCCTCGGTTCAATGCCGCGTAATTAATTACTCGGTTGATATTTCGCCAGATTCGCGATTTGACGTGATCATCACCACGTATTTCCTAGGGTTTTATTAACTATCTTCCGGCCTAGTCTGTGTCCGGTGGACACGTGCGGTTACGCCCGAGTTTGACCTTTGACGTCCTGAGGTTTAGCGGTATAACCAAGTTTCGGTGGAGCTTCCTGGCTGCTGGAATTCTCACATTCCTTGCGTTTGTGTTAAGTCACGTAGACGGCAAGAATGTAATGGAATTTTAGCGTCAATAGCGTGCATGAGAAGCGATAACCCACTCTGTGGATTGAGGTCCGGTTCTTTCCCTTTGCCACCGTGGCGGGCGTGTTTACGGTCTATGGCGTCGACCCATTTTGCCGCTAAGCTCTGAACTTGAACCGTTGCATTCAGGGAAACGAGGGGGGGAAATTTATCGTAGAAGTTGCCTGTGCTGGTGGCGCCTCTGGTTGTCTGTGCTCTTCAAACGGGGGGGGGGCCTTTGAGGCTGCGGATATTTCCTCCGTTCTCTTTGGTTTTTGAGGATTGTTGTCCTTTGCGCCTTATCTCCGTCCCTCGGTTGTGTGTGGGGATGGCAGCTGATGTGAGTCGTGGGGGCGCTTCGTAGCCCCCACCCCCTTGGGCCCCAAGCGACGCCACGATTGATTGAGAAAAATTGTATTGGCAAAATCATTCTTAATGTCAATTTGTCAAAAGGCCTCTATATATATACAACACTCTCTCCGTGTCTCTCCGTCTCTCCGTGTCTTCCTCTACCCGTGTCTCCCTCCGTGTCTCTCTCTCTCTGTTTCTCTCTCCCCGTGTCTCTCTCCGTGTCTCTTTCTCCACGTCTCTCCCTCTCTCCGTGTCTCTCCCCGTGTCTCTCTCTCTCCGTGTCTCTCTCTGTGTCTCTCCCTCCACGTCTCTCCCTCCGTGTCTCTCTCTCTCCGTGTCTCTTTCTCCACGTCTCTCCCTCTCTCCGTGTCTCTCCCCGTGTCTCTCTCCGTGTCTCTCTCCGTGTCTCTCCCTCCGTGTCTCTCTCCGTGTCTCTCCCTCCGTGTCTCTCTCCGTGTCTCTCCCTCCGTGTCTCTCTCTCCGTGTCTCTCCCTCCGTGTCTCTCTCTCTCCCTCCGTGTCTCCCTCTCTCCGTGTCTCTCTCTGTGTCTCTCCCTCCACGTCTCTCCCTCCGTGTCTCTCTCTCCGTGTCTCTCCCTCCATGTCTCTCTCCCTCCGTGTCTCTCCCTCCGTGCCTCCCTCCGTGTCTCCCTCCGTGTCTCCCTCTCTCTGTGTCTCTCTCTGTGTCTCTCCCTCCACGTCTCTCCCTCCGTGTCTCTCTCTCCGTGTCTCTCCCTCCATGTCTCTCTCCCTCCGTGTCTCTCCCTCCGTGCCTCCCTCCATGTCTCCCTCCGTGTCTCTCTCCCTCCGTGTCTCTCCCTCCGTGCCTCCCTCCGTGTCTCTCTCCCTCCGTGTCTCCCTCTCTCCCTCTCTCTGTGTCTCTCTCTCTCCGTGTCTCCCTCTCCCCCTGTGTCTCCCTCTCCGTGTCTCTCCCTCCGTGTCTCTCCCTCCGTGTCTCCCTCCGTGTCTCTCTCTCTCCGTGTCTCTCCCTCCGTGTCTCTCCCTCCGTGTCTCTCCCTCCGTGTCTCCCTCTCTCCGTGTCTCGCCCTCCGTGTCTCTCTCTCCGTGTCTCTCTCTCCACGTCTCTCCCCGTGTCTCTCTCCGTGTCTCTCCCTCCACGTCTCTCCCTCCGTGTCTCTCTCTCTCCGTGTCTCTCCCTCCGTGCCTCCCTCCGTGTCTCTCTCCCTCCGTGTCTCCCTCTCTCCCTCTCTCTGTGTCTCTCTCTCTCCGTGTCTCCCTCTCCCCCTGTGTCTCCCTCTCCATGTCTCTCCCTCCGTGTCTCTCCCTCCATGTCTCCCTCCGTGTCTCTCCCTCCGTGTCTCTCCCTCCGTGTCTCTCCCTCCGTGTCTCTCCCTCCGTGTCTCTCCCTCCGTGTCTCCCTCTCTCCGTGTCTCGCCCTCCGTGTCTCTCTCTCCGTGTCCCTCTCTCCACGTCTCTCCCCGTGTCTCTCTCCGTGTCTCTCCCTCCACGTCTCTCCCTCCGTGTCTCTCTCTCTCCGTGTCTCTCCCTCCGTGCCTCCCTCCGTGTCTCTCTCCGTGTCTCTCCCTCCACGTCTCTCCCTCCGTGTCTCTCTCTCCGTGTCTCTCTCCCCACGTCTCTCCGCGTCTCTCTCTGCGTGTCTCTCCCTCCACGTATCTCCCTCCGTGTCTCCCTCTCTCCGTGTCTCTCTCTCCGTGTCTCTCCCTCCACGTATCTCCCTCCGTGTCTCCCTCTCTCCGTGTCTCTTTCTCCACGTCTCTCCCCGTGTCTCTCTCCGTGTCTCTCCCTCCATGTGTCTCCCTCCGTGTCTCCCTCTCTCCGCGTCTCTCTCTCCGTGTCTCTCCCTCCACGTATCTCCCTCCGTGTCTCCCTCTCTCCGTGTCTCTTTCTCCACGTCTCTCCCCGTGTCTCTCTCCGTGTCTCTCCCTCCATGTGTCTCCCTCCGTGTCTCCCTCTCTCCGCGTCTCTCTCTGTGTCTCTCCCTCCACGTCTCTCCCTCCGTGTGTCTCCCTCCGTGTCTCTCTCTCCGTGTCTCTTTCCCCACGTCTCTCCGCGTCTCTCTCTCCGTGTCTCTCCCTCCACGTCTCTCCCTCCGTGTCTCCCTCTCTCCGTGTCTCCCTCTCCCCATGTCTCTCTCCGTGTCTCTCCCTCCGTGTCTCCCTCCGTGTCTCCCTCTCCGTATCTCTCCCTCCACGTCTCTCCCTCCGTGTGTCTCCCTCCGTGTCTCTCTCTCCGTGTCTCTCTCTCCGTGTCTCTCTCTCCGTGTCTCTCTCCCCACGTCTCTCCGCGTCTCTCTCTGCGTGTCTCTCCCTCCACGTATCTCCCTCCGTGTCTCCCTCTCTCCGTGTCTCTTTCTCCACATCTCTCCCCGTGTCTCTCTCCGTGTCTCTCCCTCCACGTGTCTCCCTCCGTGTCTCCCTCTCTCCGCGTCTCTCTCCCCACGTCTCTCCCTCCACGTCTCTCCGCGTATCTCTCTCCGTGTCTCTCTCTCCGTGTCTCTCTCTCCACGTCTCTCTCTCCGTGTCTCTCTCTCCGTGTCTCTCCCTCCGTGTCTCCCTCTCCCCGTGTCTCTCTCCGTGTCTCCCTCTCCCCATGTCTCTCTCCGTGTCTCTCCCTCCACGTCTCTCTCCGTGTCTCTCCCTCCACGTCTCTCCCTCCGTGTCTCCCTCTCTCCGTGTCTCCCTGCAGCGTCTGTCCCTGCGGGAGGACGGAGGGGAGACGTTCCGGGCCTGGCATGATGTCCCAGTGCCGTTCTACTTGAGCGTCTATCTCTACCACGTGGACAACCCGGAGGACATCGTCCAGCGCGGGGACAAGCCACGGGTGACCCAGCGTGGACCCTACACATACAGGTAGACACACAGCACAGAGAGACACAGCACAGTGAGACACACAGCATAGTGAGACACACAGCACAGAGAGACACAGCACAGTGAGACACACATACAGGTAGACACACAGCACAGAGAGACACAGCACAGTGAGACACAGCACAGTGAGACACACAGTGAGACACACATACAGGTAGACACACAGCACAGTGAGACACAGCACAGTGAGACACACAGCATAGTGAGACACACAGCACAGAGAGACACAGCACAGTGAGACACACATACAGGTAGACACACAGCACAGAGAGACACAGCACAGTGAGACACAGCACAGTGAGACACACAGTGAGACACACATACAGGTAGACACACAGCACAGTGAGACACAGCACAGTGAGACACACATACAGGTAGACACACAGCACAGAGAGACACAGCACAGTGAGACACAGCACAGTGAGACACACAGTGAGACACACATACAGGTAGACACACAGCACAGTGAGACACAGCACAGTGAGACACACAGCACAGAGAGACACAGCACAGTGAGACACACATACAGGTAGACACACAGCACAGAGAGACACAGCACAGTGAGACACAGCACAGTGAGACACACAGTGAGACACACATACAGGTAGACACACAGCACAGTGAGACACAGCACAGTGAGATACACATACAGGTAGACACACAGCACAGAGAGACACAGCACAGTGAGACACAGCACAGTGAGACACACAGTGAGACACACATACAGGTAGACACACAGCACAGTGAGACACAGCACAGTGAGACACACAGTGAGACACACATACAGGTAGACACACAGACACAGTGAGACACAGCACAGTGAGACACACAGTGAGACACACATACAGGTAGACACACAGCACAGAGAGACACAGCACAGTGAGACACACAGTGAAACACACATACAGGTAGACACACAGCACAGAGACACACAGCACAGTGAGACACACAGCATAGTGAGACACAGCACAGTGAGACACACATACAGGTAGACACACAGCACAGAGAGACACAGCACAGTGAGACACACATACAGGTAGACACACAGCACAGTGAGACACAGCACAGTGAGACACACAGTGAGACACACAGTGAGACACACAGACACACAGTGAGACACACAGACACACAGTGAGACACACAGTGAGACACACAGACACAGTGAGACACACAGTGAGACACACAGACAAAGTGAGACACACACAGTGAGACACACAGTGAGATACACAGACACAGTGAGACACACAGCACAGTGAGACACACAGTGAGACACACAGACACAGTGAGACACACAGTGAGACACACAGTGAGACACACAGTGAGACACACAGACACAGTGAGACACACAGACACAGTGAGACACACAGCACAGTGAGACACACAGTGAGACACACAGACACAGTGAGACACACAGTGAGACACACAGTGAGACACACAGACACAGTGAGACACACAGACACAGTGAGACACACAGCACAGTGAGACACACAGCACAGTGAGACACACAACACACACAGACACAGTGAGACACACAGACACAGTGAGACACACAGTGAGACACACAGACACAGTGAGACACACAGACACACAGTGAGACACACAGTGAGACACACAGTGAGACACACAGACACAGTGAGACACACAACACAGTGAGACACACAGTGAGACACACAGTGAGACACACAGTGAGACACACAGTGAGACACACAACACACACAGACCAGTGTGTATTTGTGTGTCTCTGTGTGTGTGTCTGTGTGTGTGTTTGTATCTGTGTGTGTGTGTGTCTGGGTGTGTGTGTCTGTGTGTGTGTTTGTATCTGTGTGTGTGTGTGTCTGGGTGTGTGTGTCTGTATGTGTCTGTGTGTGTGTGTCTCTGTGTGTGTCACTGTGTCTGTGTGTGTGTGTCTATGTGTGTGTGTCTGTGTATGTGTCACTGTGTCTGTGTGTGTGTCTGTGTGTGTGTCTGTGTGTGTGACTATGTGTGTGTGTGTGTCTGTGTATGCGTCACTGTGTCTGTGTGTATGTCTGTGTGTGTGTGTCTGTGTGTGTCTCTGTCTGTGTGAGTGTGTCTCTGTCTGTGTGTGTGTCTATGTGTGTGTGTGTCTGTGTGTGTCTCTGTCTGTGTGAGTGTGTCTCTGTCTGTGTGTGTGTGTGTCTATGTCTGTGTGTCTGTGTGTGTGTCTCTGTGTGTGTGTCTGTGTGTGTGTCTGTGTGTGTCTATGTGTGTGTGTGTCTATGTGTGTGTGTGTCTGTGTGTGTGTCTATGTGTGTGTCTGTGTGTGTCACTGTGTCTGTGTGTGTGTCTATGTGCTGTGTGTCTATGTAGAGAAGAGAGACACAAGGTCGATCTCCGCTTCTACGACCTCCCCGCGGTGTCTTTCCGTGAGCGTCGAGTTTACCAATTCTGTCCGGAGTTGTCCGTCGGTTCGGAGAGAGACTCCATCACAACTCTCAATATACCAGCACTGGTGAGCTCACCACTCACTCACCACTCACTCACTCACCACTCACTCACAACTCACTCACCACTCACTCACCACTCACTCATTCACTCACCACTCACTCACTCACTAACACACTCACTCACCACTCACTCACTCACCACTCACTCACCACTCACTCACCACTCACTCACTCACCCACTCACTCACTCACCACTCACTCACTCACCACTCACTCACCACTCACTCACTCACTCACCCACTCACTCACTCACTCACCACTCACTCACCACTCACTCACCACTCACTCACCACTACTCACTCACCACTCACTCACCACTCACTCACCACTCACTCACCACTCACTCACTCACTCACCACTCACTCACCACTCACTCACCCACTCACCCACTCACTCACTCACCACTCACTCACCACTCACCACTCACTCATTCACTCACCACTCACTCACTCACCACTCACTCACCACTCACTCACTCACCACTCACTCACCACTTACCACTCACTCACCCACTCACCACTCATTCAGCACTCCCTCACCACTCACTCACCACTCACTCACCACTCACCACAAACTCACCACTCATTCAGCACTCACTCACCACTCACTCACCACAAACTCACCACTCACTCACCACTCACTCACCACTCACTTGGTGTGTGTCTGTGTATCTGTGTGTCTCTGTGTGTCTGTGTCTCTGTCTGTATGTCTCTCTGTGTCTCTGTGTCTCTGTGTCTGTGTGTCTGTGTGTCTGTATGTCTCTGTGTGTCTGTGTATCTCTGTGTGTCTGTGTCTCTGTGTCTCTCTGTCTCCGTGTGTCTGTGTCTCTGTGTCTCCGTGTCTCTGTGTGTCTGTGTGTCTGTGTGTCTGTGTATCTCTGTGTGTCTGTGTCTCCGTGTGTCTGTGTGTCTCTGTGTGTCTCTGTGTGTCTGTGTATCTGTGTCTCTGTGTGTCTCTGTGTGTCTCTCTGTGTATCTGTGTGTCTCTGTGTCTCTGTGTGTCTCTGTGTGTCTCCGTGTATCTGTATGTCTCTGTGTCTCTGTGTGTCTGTGTCTCTGTCTGAATGTCTCTGTATGTCCCCGTGTCCCCGTCCGTGTCTGCCGCAGGCGGCCGCGATGCTGTCCGAGCGTCTGTCCCCGCGCCTGCGCTTGGCTGTGTCCTTGCTGCTGTCCGCAGTGGGCGAGGGCTCTGCCGTGGTCTCGCTGGCCGTGGGAGACTTCCTCTGGGGATACTCCGACCCTCTGGCCCGGGCGCTTCACTCGCTCAGCCCCACGCTGTGGCCCTCGCCGCGGTTTGGACTCCTCGCTGGGGTGAGGAGAGCTCGCACGTCGCTCGCCCATCGCTCGCTCACTCGCTCGCTCACTCGCTCACTCGCTCACCCACTCACCCATCGCTCTCACGTCGCTCGCTCGCTCGCACATCGCTCGCTCACTCGCTCGCTCACACGTCGCTCGCTCGCTCGCACGTCGCTCGCTCGCTCGCACGTCGCTCGCTCGCTCACCCGCTCGCTCGCTCACTCGCACGTCGCTCACCCATCGCTCGCTCACCCATCACTCGCTCACTCGCTCACTCACACGTCGCTCGCTCGCTCACCCACTCACCCATCGCTCTCACGTCGCTCGCTCACTCGCACGTCGCTCGCCCATCGCTCGCTCACTCGCTCACTCTCACGTCGCCCGCTCACTCGCTCGCTCACTCGCTCACCCACTCACCCATCGCTCTCACGTCGCTCGCTCGCTCGCACGTCGCTCGCTCACTCGCTCGCTCACCCACTCACCCATCGCTCATCCATCGCTCGCTCACTCGCTCACCCTCACGTCGCTCGCTCACCCACTCACCCATCGCTCTCACGTCGATAGCTCGCTCGCACGTCGCCCGCTCGCTCGCTCACTCACCCATCGCTCACTCACACGTCGCTCGCTCACCCACTCACCCATCGCTCTCATGTCGCTCGCTCGCTCACCCATCGCTCGCTCACTCGCTCACTCGCTCACTCGCTCACTCACACCTCGCTCGCTCACCCACTCACCCATCGCTCGCTCACTCGCTCACTCACCCACTCACCCATCGCTCGCTCACCCATCGCTCTCACGTCGCTCACCCACCCACCCACCCACTCGCTCGCCAATCGGTCGCTCACCAATCACCCACTCACTCGCCGTGTCTCCCTCCCCGTGTCTCCCTCCCCGTGTCTCTCCCCCGTGTCTCTCCCCGTGTCTCTCTCCTCGTGTCTCTCCCCGTGTCTCCCCGTGTCTCTCTCCCCGTGTCTCTCCCCGTGTCTCTCCCCGTGTCTCTCTCCCAGTGTCTCTCCCCCGTGTCTCTCCCCCGTGTCTCTCTCCCCGTGTCTCTCCCCCGTGTCTCTCCCCGTGTCTCTCCCCCATGTCTCTCCCCCGTGTCTCTCCCCGTGTCTCTCCCCGTGTCTCTCCCCGTGTCTCTCTCCCCGTGTCTCTCCCCCGTGTCTCTCCCCGTGTCTCTCTCCCCGTGTCTCTCCCCGTGTCTCCCCGTGTCTCTCCCCGTGTCTCCCCCCGTGTCTCTCCCCCGTGTCTCTCCCCCATGTCTCCCCCCGTGTCTCTCCCCCGTGTCTCTCCCCCGTGTCTCTCCCCTTTTCTCTCCCCCGTGTCTCCCCGTGTCTCTCCCCATGTCTCTCCCCGTGTCTCTCTCCCCGTGTCTCTCCCCCCGTGTCTCTCTCCCCGTGTCTCTCCCCCGTGTCTCTCCCCGTGTCTCTCCCCCGTGTCTCTCCCCATGTCTCTCCCCGTGTCTCTCCCCCGTGTCTCTCCCCGTGTGTCTCCCCGTGTCTGCCCGTGTCTCCCAGTGTCTCTCCCCGTGTCTCTCTCTCCGTGTCTCTCTCCCCGTCTCTCTCCCCGTGTCTCTCCCCCCGTGTCTCTCCCCCGTCTCTCTCCCCGTGTCTCTCCCCCCGTGTCTCTCCCCCATGTCTCTCCCCGTGTCTCTCCCCCCGTGTCTCTCTCCCCGTGTCTCTCCCCGTGTTTCTCCCCGTGTCTCTCCCCGTGTCTCTCCCCGTGTCTCTCTCCCAGTGTCTCTCCCCCGTGTCTCTCCCCCGTGTCTCTCCCCGTGTCTTTCCCCGTGTCTCTCCCCCGTGTCTCTCCCCGTGTCTCTCCCCCATGTCTCTCCCCCCCGTGTCTCTCCCCCGTGTCTCTCCCCGTGTCTCTCTCCCCGTGTCTCTCCCCCGTGTCTCTCCCCGTTTCTCTCCCCCGTGTCTCTCCCCGTGTCTCTCCCCGTGTCTCTCCCCCGTGTATCTCCCCGTGTCTCTCCCCGTGTGTCTCCCCGTGTCTCCCCGTGTCTCTCCCCGTGTGTCTCCCCGTGTCTCTCCCCGTGTCTCTCCCCGTGTCTCTCCCCGTGTGTCTCCCCGTGTCTCCCCGTGTCTCTCCCCGTGTCTCTCCCCCGTGTCTCTCCCCGTGTCTCTCCCCCGTGTCTATCCCCGTGTCTCTCTCCCCGTGTCTCTCCCCGTGTCTCTCCCCCGTGTCTATCCCCGTGTCTCTCTCCCCGTGTCTCTCCCCGTGTCTCTCCCTGTCGCGATAGTTCAACAACTCTGACTCTGGGGAGTTTGTAGTGGAAACCGGCGTCACGGACATCAGCCAGGTCCACCGAGTGGTCTCGTGGAACGGCATGACCAAGGTACCGCCCCCGTGTCTCCCCGTGTCTCTCCGTGTCTCCCCGTGTCTCCACGTGTCTCCCTTGTCTCTCCGTGTCTCCCCTGTCTCTCCGTGTCTCTCCACGTGTCTCCCCGTGTCTCCCGGCGTCTCCCTGTGTCTCCCCGTGTCTCTTTCCCCGTGTCTCTCTCCCCGTGTCTCTCCCCCGTGTCTCCCCTGTCTCCCCGTGTCTCCCCCGTGTCTACCCCGTCTCTCCCCGTGTCTCTCTGTGTCTCCCCCGTCTCTCCCCGTGTCTCCCCGTGTCTCCCCCGTGTCTCCCCCATGTCTCTCTGTGTCTCCCCCGTGTCTCCCCGTGTTTCCCCGTGTCTCCACCCTGTCTCTCCGTGTCTCCCCCGTGTCTCCCCGTGTCTCCGTGTGTCTCCCCGTGTCTCTCCGTGTCTCCCCGTGTCTCCCCCGTGTCTCCCCGTGTCTCCGCGTGTCTCTCCCCTGTCTCTCCCCCGTCTCTCCCCCGTGTCTCCCCGTGTCTTCCCCATGTCTCCCCGTGTCTCTCCGTGTGTCTCCCCGGTGTCTCCGCGTGTCTCCCCGTGTCTCCCCCGTGTCTCCCCCGTGTCTCTCTGTGTCTCCCCGTGTCTCTCTGTGTTTCCGCGTGTCTCCCCGTGTCTCCCCCGTGTCTCTCTGTCTCCCCGTGTCTCTCTGTGTCTCCCCGTGTCTCCCCCGTCTCTCCCCGTATCTCCGCGTGTCTCCGCATGTCTCCCCCGTGTCTCTCCCCCGTATCTCCACCGTCTCTCCCCGGTGTCTCCCCCGTGTCTCCCCCGTGTCTCCCCGTGTCTTCCCCATGTCTCCCCGTGTCTCTCTGTGTGTCTCCCCGGTGTCTCCACGTGTCTCCCCGTGTCTCTCCCGTGTCTCTCCCGTGTCTCCCCCGTGTCTCTCTGTGTCTCCCCGTGTCTCTCTGTGTCTCCCCCGTGTCTCTCTGTGTCTCCGCGTGTCTCCCCATGTCTCCCCCGTGTCTCTGTGTGTCTCCCCGTTTCTCTCTGTGTCTCTCTGTGTCTCCCCGTGTCTCCCCCGTCTCTCCCCGTGTCTCCCCCGTGTCTCCCCGTATCTCCGCGTGTCTCCCCATGTCTCCCCCGTGTTTCTCCCCCGTGTCTTCACCGTCTCTCCCCGGTGTCTCCGCGTGTCTCCCCGTGTCTCTCCGTGTCTCCCCGTGTCTCCGCGTGTCTCCCCGCGTGTCTCTCCGCGTGCAGCTGCCCTACTGGCGCTCCGCACGCTGCAACCAAATATCTGGCACGGCGGGGGAGATGTGGCCACCTCTGGTGAACCAAAGCCTGCCTCTCACCTTCTTCAGTCCAGACACGTGCAGGTAGACACGGGGGAGAGAGACACGGGGGAGAGAGACACGGGGAGAGACACGGGGAGAGACACTGGGAGAGAGAGAGACACGGGGGGAGATGTGGCCACCCCTGGTGAACCAGAGCCTGCCTCTCACCTTCTTCAGTCCAGACACGTGCAGGTAGACACGGGGGAGAGAGACACGGGCAGAGAGAGAGACCCGGGGGGAGAGAGACACGGGGAGAGAGAGAGACACGGGGAGAGAGAGAGACACGGGGAGAGAGAGAGACACGGGGAGAGAGAGACACGGGGAGAGAGACACAGGGAGAGAGAGACACGGGGAGAGACACGGGGGGTGACACGGAGAGAGAGAGACATGGGGGGAGAGAGACACGGAGAGAGAGACACGGGGGAGAGAGAGACACGGGGACAGACACGGGGAGAGAGAGACACGGGGAGAGAGAGACACGGGGAGAGAGAGACACGGGGAGAGACACGGGGAGAGAGAGACACGGGGAGAGACACGGGGAGAGAGAGACACGGGGAGAGAGAGACACGGGGAGAGACACGGGGAGAGACACGGGGAGAGAGAGACACGGGGAGAGACACGGGGAGAGACACGGGGAGAGAGAGAGAGACACGGGGAGAGACACGGGGAGAGAGACATGGGGGGAGATGTGGCCACCCCTGGTGAACCAGAGCCTGCCTCTCACCTTCTTCAGTCCAGACACGTGCAGGTAGACACGGGGAGAGAGAGACACGGAGAGAGAGAGACACGGGCAGAGAGAGAGACACGGGGGGAGAGAGACACGGGGAGAGAGAGAGACACGGGGAGAGAGAGAGACACGGGGAGAGAGAGACACGGGGAGAGAGACACAGGGAGAGAGAGAGACATGGGGGGAGAGAGACACGGAGAGAGAGACACGGGGGGAGATGTGGCCACCCCTGGTGAACCAGAGCCTGCCTCTCACCTTCTTCAGTCCAGACACGTGCAGGTAGACACGGGGGAGAGAGACACGGGGGAGAGAGACACGGGGAGAGACACGGGGAGAGACACTGGGAGAGAGAGAGACACGGGGAGAGACACGGGGAGAGAGACACGGGGGGAGATGTGGCCACCCCTGGTGAACCAGAGCCTGCCTCTCACCTTCTTCAGTCCAGACACGTGCAGGTAGACACGGGGGAGAGAGACACGGGGAGAGAGAGACACGGGGAGAGACACGGGGAGAGACACTGGGAGAGAGAGAGACACGGGGGGAGATGTGGCCACCCCTGGTGAACCAGAGCCTGCCTCTCACCTACTTCAGTCCAGACACGTGCAGGGAGACACGGGGGAGAGAGACACGGGGGAGAGAGACACGGGGAGAGACACGGGGAGAGACACTGGGAGAGAGAGAGACACGGGGGGAGATGTGGCCACCCCTGGTGAACCAGAGCCTGCCTCTCACCTTCTTCAGTCCAGACACGTGCAGGTAGACACGGGGGAGAGAGACACGGGCAGAGAGAGAGACACGGGGGGAGAGAGACACGGGGAGAGAGAGAGACACGGGGAGAGAGAGAGACACGGGGAGAGAGAGAGACACGGGGAGAGAGAGACACGGGGAGAGAGACACAGGGAGAGAGAGACACGGGGAGAGACACGGGGGGAGACACGGAGAGAGAGAGACATGGGGGGAGAGAGACACGGAGAGAGAGACACGGGGGAGAGAGAGACACGGGGACAGACACGGGGAGAGAGAGACACGGGGAGAGAGAGACACGGGGAGAGAGAGACACGGGGAGAGACACGGGGAGAGAGAGACACGGGGAGAGACACGGGGAGAGAGAGACACGGGGAGAGAGAGACACGGGGAGAGACACGGAGAGAGACACGGGGAGAGAGAGACACGGGGAGAGACACGGGGAGAGACACGGGGAGAGAGAGAGAGACACGGGGAGAGACACGGGGAGAGAGACATGGGGGGAGATGTGGCCACCCCTGGTGAACCAGAGCCTGCCTCTCACCTTCTTCAGTCCAGACACGTGCAGGTAGACACGGGGAGAGAGAGACACGGAGAGAGAGAGACACGGGCAGAGAGAGAGACACGGGGGGAGAGAGACACGGGGAGAGAGAGAGACACGGGGAGAGAGAGAGACACGGGGAGAGAGAGACACGGGGAGAGAGACACAGGGAGAGAGAGAGACATGGGGGGAGAGAGACACGGAGAGAGAGACACGGGGGGAGATGTGGCCACCCCTGGTGAACCAGAGCCTGCCTCTCACCTTCTTCAGTCCAGACACGTGCAGGTAGACACGGGGGAGAGAGACACGGGGGAGAGAGACACGGGGAGAGACACGGGGAGAGACACTGGGAGAGAGAGAGACACGGGGAGAGACACGGGGAGAGAGACACGGGGGGAGATGTGGCCACCCCTGGTGAACCAGAGCCTGCCTCTCACCTTCTTCAGTCCAGACACGTGCAGGTAGACACGGGGGAGAGAGACACGGGGAGAGAGAGACACGGGGAGAGACACGGGGAGAGACACTGGGAGAGAGAGAGACACGGGGGGAGATGTGGCCACCCCTGGTGAACCAGAGCCTGCCTCTCACCTTCTTCAGTCCAGACACGTGCAGGTAGACACGGGGGAGAGAGACACGGGGAGAGACACGGGGAGACAGAGAGACCCGGGGAGAGAGACACAGGGAGAGAGAGACACGGGGAGAGAGACACGGGGAGAGAGAGAGACACGGGGAGAGAGAGACACGGGGAGAGAGACACAGGGAGAGACACGGGAAGAGACACGGGGAGAGACACGGGGAGAGAGACACGGGGAGAGAGAGACACGGGGAGAGACACGGGGGGAGACACGGAGAGAGAGAGACATGGGGAGAGAGAGACATGGAGAGAGAGACACGGGGGGAGATGTGGCCACCCCTGGTGAACCAGAGCCTGCCTCTCACTTTCTTCAGTCCAGACACGTGCAGGTAGACACGGGGGAGAGAGACACGGGGGAGAGAGACACGGGGAGAGAGAGACACGGGGAGAGACACGGGGAGAGACACGGGGAGAGACACGGGGAGAGACACGGGGAGAGACACTGAGAGAGAGACACGGCGGGGGAGATGTGGCCACCCCTGGTGAACCCGAGCCTGCCTCTCACCTTCTTCAGTCCAGACACGTGCAGGTAGACACGGCGGAGAGAGACACGGGGAGAGACACGGGGAGAGACACGGGGAGAGACACGGAGAGAGAGAGACACGGGGGAGAGAGACACGGGGAGAGAGAGACACGGGGAGAGAGAGACACGGGGAGAGACACGGGGAGAGACACGGAGAGAGAGAGAGACACGGGGGAGAGAGACACGGGGAGAGAGAGACACGGGGAGAGAGAGACACGGGGAGAGACACGGGGAGAGACACGGAGAGAGAGACACGGGGGGAGATGTGGCCACCCCTGGTGAACCAGAGCCTACCTCTCACCTTCTTCAGTCCAGACACGTGCAGGTAGACACGGGAGAGAGAGACATGGGGGAGAGAGACACGGGGAGAGACACGGGGAGAGACACTGGGAGAGAGAGAGACACGGGGGGAGATGTGGCCACCCCTGGTGAACCAGAGCCTGCCTCTCACCTTCTTCAGTCCAGACACGTGCAGGTAGACACGGGAGAGAGAGACACGGGGGAGAGAGACACGGGGAGAGACACGGGGAGAGACACTGGGAGAGAGAGACACGGGGGGAGATGTGGCCACCCCTGGTGAACCAGAGCCTGCCTCTCACCTTCTTCAGTCCAGACACGTGCAGGTAGACACGGGGAGAGAGAGACACGGAGAGAGAGACACGGGGAGAGAGAGAGACACGGGGAGAGAGAGACACGGGGAGAGAGAGAGACACGGGGAGAGAGAGAGACACGGGGAGAGAGAGTGACACGGGGAGAGAGACACGGGGAGAAGGACAAGGGGGGAGATGTGGCCACCCCTGGTGAACCAGAGCCTGCCTCTCACTTTCTTCAGTCCAGACACGTGCAGGTAGACACGGGGGAGAGAGACACGGGGAGAGACACGGGGAGAGACACGGGGAGAGACACGGGGAGAGAGACACGGGGAGAGAGAGACACGGGGAGAGAGAGAGAGACACGGGGAGAGAGAGAGACACGGGGAGAGAGAGACACTGGGAGAGAGACACGGGGAGAGAGACACGGGGAGAGAGAGACACGGAGAGAGAGACACGGGGATAGAGAGACACGGGTAGAGAGAGACACGAGGAGAGAGAGAGACACGGAGAGAGAGACACGGGGAGAGAGCGACACGGGGGGGGGGGGAGACACGGGGAGAGAGAGACACGGTAAGAGAGCGACACGGTGAGAGAGAGACACGGGGAGAGACACGGGCAGAGACAGACACGGAGAGAGAGACACGGGGAGAGAGAGAGAGACACGGGGGGAGACACATGGAGAGAGAGACACGGGGAGAGAGAGACACGGAGAGAGAGACACGGGGAGAGACACGGGGAGAGAGAGACACGGGGAGAGAGAAACATGGGGAGAGAGAGAGACACGGGGGAGACACGGGGAGAGAGAGACACGGAGAGAGAGACACGGGGGGAGAGAGAGAGACACGGGGAGAGAGAGACACGGGGAGAGAGAGACACGGAGAGAGAGAGACACGGGGAGAGAGAGACACAGGGAGAGAGAGACACGGGGAGAGAGAGAGACACGGGGAGAGAGAGACACGGGAAAAGAGAGAGACACGGAAAGAGAGTGACACGGGGAGAGAGAGACACGGGAAGAGAGAGAGACACGGAGAGAGATAGACAGGGGGAGAGAGAGACACGGGGAGAGAGAGACACGGGGAGAGAGAGACACGGGTAGAGAGAGACACAGGTAGAGAGAGACACAGGTAGAGAGAGACACGGGTAGAGAGAGACATGGGTAAAGAGACACGGGTAGAGAGAGACACGGGTCGAGAGAGACACAGGTAGAGAGAGACACGGGTAGAGAGAGACACAGGTAGAGAGAGACACGGGTAGAGAGACACGGGTAGAGAGACACGGGAGCTCTTTGTAACCCCCCACCCCACCCCCGTGCCCCTCCCCTGCTCCCCCCCGTGCCCCCCCCCAGGACCCTGGATCTGTGGTTCTCTGAGTGCCGCTGGCCGGGCGGTGTCCCCGTGTGGAGGTTCCGTGTGGACCCGTCGCTCTTCGCCAACGGATCCTCCTACCCCCCCAACGAGGGCTTCTGTCCCTGCATTCAGTCGGGGGCGCTCAACCTCAGCTCCTGCCGCTCCGGTGGGGGGCAGGGGGGGCATGGGGGGGCAGGGGGGGGCAAGGGGGGCAGGGGGGGGCAGGGGGGGCAGGGGGGGCCGGGGGGGGCGGGGGGGGGGTGACGTGGTCGTGGCCATGGAGTCATTTGCTGACGATGATGATGAGGGCCTCAATGTCTGTCCCCGTGTCTCTCTCCCCCGTGTCTCCCCCCGTGTCTCTCCCCCCGTGTCTCCCCGTGTCTCCCCCGTGTCTCCCCGTGTCTCCTCCCATCTCTCTCCCCGTGTCTCCCCCGTGTCTCCCCGTGTTTCTCCCCGTGTCTCCCCCCCCCCGTGTCTCCCCGTGTCTCTCCCCCCGTGTCTCCCCGTGTCTCCCCCGTGTCTCCCCGTGTCTCCCCCGTGTCTCCCCCGTGTCTCCCCGTGTCTCCCCCGTGTCTCCCCGTGTCTCCCCCATGTCTCTCCACCCGTGTCTCCCCGTGTCTCCCCGTGTCTCCCCCATGTCTCTCCCCCCGTGTCTCTCTCTCCCCGTGTCTCCCCGTGTCTCCCCCGTGTCTCTCTCCCCGTGTATCTCTCTCCCCGTGTCTCCCCCGTGTCTTTCTCCCCGTGTCTCCCCCGTGTCTCTCTCCCCGTGTCTCTCTCTCCCCCACGTCTCTCTCCCCGTGTCTCCCCCCATGTCTCCCCGTGTCTCCACGTGTCTCCCCGTGTCTCCCCGTGTCTCTCTCCCTCCCCCCGTGTCTCCCCCCCCGTGTCTCCCCAGGTGCTCCGGTCTTCGTGTCTCAGCCACATTTCTTCCAGGGCGATCCGTCGTTGGTCTCCGCCGTGATTGGACTCCCCCATGTCTCTCCCCCCGTGTCTCTCTCTCCCCGTGTCTCCCCGTGTCTCTCTCTCCGTGTCTCTCTCTCCCCCGTGTTTCTCTCCCCGTGTCTCCCCCCGTGTCTCTCCCCGTGTCTCCCCGTGTCTCCCCGTGTCTCTCTCCCTCCCCCCGTGTCTCCCCGTGTCTCCCCCCCCGTGTCTCCCCAGGTGCTCCGGTCTTCGTGTCTCAGCCACATTTCTTCCAGGGCGATCCGTCGTTGGTCTCCGCCGTGATTGGACTCCGACCAGACGCCAAACTCCACGAGACGTTCGTGGACGTTCATGCGGTGGGAGACACGGGGGGGGGGGGAGACACGGGGGGGGGAGACACGGGGGGAGACACGGGGGGAGAGACACGGGGAGACACGGGGGGGAGACACGGGGGGAGAGAGACACGGGGGGAGAGACACGGGGAGACACGGGGAGACACGGGGGGAGGGAGAGAGACACGGGGAGACACGGGGAGACACGGGGGGGGGAGACACGGGGGGAGACACGGGGGGAGACACGGGGGGAGACACGGGGGGAGAGACACGGGGAGACACGGGGGGAGACACGGGGGGAGAGAGACACGGGGGGAGAGACACGGGGAGACACGGGGAGACACGGGGGGAGGGAGAGAGACACGGGGAGACACGGGGAGACACGGGGGGGGGGGAGACACGGGGGGAGACACGGGGGGAGAGAGACACGGGGGGGGGAAGACACGTGGGGAGACACGGGGGGGGGGAGACACGGGGGGGGGGAGACACGGGGGGGAGAGACACGGGGGGAGACACGGGGGGAGACACGGGGGGAGACACGGGGGGGGAGACACGGGGGGGGACACGGGGGGGGGGAGACACGGGGGGGAGAGACACGGGGGGAGACACGGGGGGAGACACGGGGGGAGACACGGGGGGGAGACACGGGGGGGACACGGGGGGAGACACGGGGGGAGAGACACGGAGGGAGACACGGGGAGACACGGGGGGAGACACGGGGGGGGAGACACGGGGGGGACACGGGGGGAGACACGGGGGGAGAGACACGGAGGGAGACACGGGGAAACACGGGGGGAGACACGGGGGGAGAGACACGGGGGAGACATGGGGGGGGGGAGACACGGGAAAACACGGGGAGAGATACGGGGAGACACGGTGGGAGACACGCGGGGGAGACACGGTGAGACACGGGGGTGACACACGGGGAGACACGGGGGAGACACGGGGGGGAGACACGGGGAGACACGGGGGGGGGGGAGACACGGGGGGGAGACACGGGGAAACACGGGGGGAGACGCGGGGGGAGACACGGGGGAAGACACGGGGAGAGATCTGGGGGGAGACACGGGTAGAGACACGGGGAGACACGGGGAGAGACGCACGGTGAGAGACACGGGGAGAGACACGGTGAGAGACACGCAGAAAGACACGGGGAGACACGGGGGGGGAGACACGGGGAGAGAGAGACACGGGGAGAGACACGGGGGGAGAGAGAGATACGGGGAGAGAGAGAGACACGGGGAGAGACACGGGGAGAGACACGGGGGGAGAGAGACACGGGTAGAGAGAGACACGGGGAGAGAGAGAGACACGGGGAGAGACATGGGGAGACATGGGAGGAGGGAGAGAGACACGGGGAGACACGGGGGAGACACGGGGAGAGACACGGTGGGAGACACGGGGGGAGACACGGGGGGGGAGAGACACGGGGGGGAGAGACACGGGGGTGACACGGGGTGACACGGGGGGGGGAGACACGGGGAGAGACACGGGGAGGCACGGGGAGACACGGGGAGAGACACGGGGAGGCACGGGGAGACACGGGGGGAGACACGGGGAGGCACGGGGAGACACGGGGGGAGACACGGGGGAGACACGGGGGGAGACACGGGGAGAGACACGGGGAGGCACGGGGAGACACGGGGAGAGACACGGGGAGGCACGGGGAGACACGGGGGGAGACACGGGGGGAGACACGGGGAGACACGGGGTGGTGGGAGACACGGGGGGGAGACACGGGGTGGTGGGAGACACGGGGAGAGAGAGACACGGGGAGACACGGGGGGGTGGGAGACACGGGGAGACACGGGGAGACACGGGGAGACACGGGGGAGACGCGGGGGGAGACACGGGGGGAGACACGGGGAGACACGGGGAGACACGGGCGGAGACACGGGGAGACACGGGGGGAGACACGGGGAGAGAGACACGGGGGGAGAGACACGGGGAGAGACACGGTGAGAGACACGGGGGAGAGACACGGGGTAGAGACACGGGGGAGAGACATGGGGGGGAGAGACACGTGGGGGAGAGACACGGGGAGAGAGACACGGGGGGGAGACACGGGGGGAGAGACACGTGGGGGAGACACGGGGAGAGAGACACGGGGGAGAGACACGGCGGGGAGACACGGGGAGAGAGACACGGGGGGAGAGACACGGGGAGAGAGACACGGGGGGGAGAGACACGGGGAGAGAGACACGGGGGGAGAGACACGGCGGGGAGACACGGGGAGAGAGACACGGGGGGAGAGACACGGGGAGAGACACGGGGAGAGACACGGGGGAGAGACACGGGGAGAGACACGGGGGAGAGACACGGGGGGGGGGAGACACGGGGGGAGACACGGGGGGAGACACGGGGGGAGACACGGGGGGAGATGGGGGGAGACACGGGGGAGACACGGGGGAGACACGGGGAGAGACACGGGGGGGGAGACACGGGGGGAGACACGGGGGGAGACACGGAGAGACACGGGGGGAGACACGGGGTGGTGGGAGACACGGGGGGGAGACACGGGGAGACGCGGGGGGAGACACGGGGGGAGACACGGGGTGGTGGGAGACACGGGGGGGAGACACAGGGAGACACGGGGGGAGACACGGGGGAGACACGGGGGGGGGGAGACAGGGGGGGACACGGGGGGGTGGGAGACACGGGGGGGAGACACGGGGAGACACGGGGCAGACACGGGGAGACACGGGGGAGACACGGGGAGACACGGGGGGAGACACGGGGGGAGACACGGGGAGACACGGGGGAGACACGGGGGGAGACACGGGGGGAGACACGGGGGGAGACACGGGGGGGGAAGACACGGGGGGAGACACGGGGGGGGGAGACACGGGGTACATGGGTGAGACACGGGGAGACACTGGGGGGAGACACGGGGGGAGACACGGGGAGATACGGGGAGACACGGGCGGAGACACGGGGAGATACGGGGGGAGACACGGGGAGACACGGGGAGACACGGGGAGAGAGACACGGGGAGACACGGGGGGAGAGACACGGGGAGAGACACGGGTGGAGAGAGAGACACGGGGGGGGAGACATGGGGGGAGAGACACGGGGAGACACGGGGGGAGACACGGGGAGAGATACGGGGGGAGACACGGGTAGAGGCAAGGGGAGAGACACGGGGGGAGAGAGAGACACGGGGAGACACGGGGGGGAGACACGGGGAGAGAGAGACACGTGGAGAGAGAGAGAGACACGGGGAGAGAGAGAGACACGGGGAGAGAGAGAGACACGGGGAGAGAGAGATACGGGGAGAGAGAGAGACACGGGGAGAGAGAGACACGGGGAGAGAGAGACACGGGTAGAGAGAGACACGGGGAGAGAGAGACACGGGGAGAGAGAGACACGGGGGGAGACACGGGGGGGAGAGAGACACGGGGAGAGAGAGAGACACGGGGGGAGACACGGGGGGAGAGAGACACGGGTAGATATAGACACGGGTAGAGAGAAAGACACGGGTAGAGAGAGACACGGGTTAGAGAGAGACACGGGGAGAGAGAGACACGGGGAGAGAGAGACACGGGGAGAGAGAGACACGGGTAGAGAGAGACACGGGTAGAGAGAGGACACGGGGAGAGAGAGACACGGGGAGGAGAGAGAGACACGGGGAGAGAGAGACACGGGTTAGAGAGGGACACGGGTAGAGAGAGACACGGGGAGAGAGAGAGACACGGGGAGAGAGGACACGGGGAGAGAGAGAGAGACACGGGTAGAGAGACACACGGGTAGAGAGATACACGGGGAGAGAGAGAGACACGGGGAGAGAGAGACACACGGGGAGAGAGAGAGACACGGGGAGAGAGACACGGGGAGAGAGAGACACGGGTAGAGAGAGACACACGGGGAGAGAGAGACACGGGGAGAGAGAGAGACACGGGGAGAGAGAGACACACGGGGAGAGAGAGAGACACGGGGAGAGAGACACGGGGAGAGAGAGAGACACGGCGAGAGAGAGAGAGAGACACGGGGAGAGAGAGAGAGAGACACGGGGAGAGAGAGACACGGGGAGAGAGAGAGACATGGGGAGAGAGAGAGACACGGGGAGAGAGAGAGACACGCGGAGAGAGAGACACGGGGAGAGAGAGACATGGGGAGAGAGAGAGACATGGGGAGAGAGAGAGGCACGGGGAGAGAGAGAGACACGGGGAGAGAGAGAGAGACACGGGGAGAGAGAGACACGGGTAGAGAGAGAGACACGGGTAGAGAGAGAGACACGGGGGGTAAAATCATTATCCACGTGTCTCCCCCCCCCCCCCCCCGTGTCCCCCCCCCGTGTCTCCACAGGAATCTGGTGTCCCAGTCAACGTCTCCATCCGTCTCAGATCAACCTCCACATACACTCTGTTACAGGCATAGCGTATGTCATCACCATCACTACCATCATCATCACTACCATCACTACCATCATCATCACTACCAGATCAACCTCCACATACACTCAGTGACAGGCATAGCGTATGTCATCATCATCATCAACATCACTACCATCATCATCACTACCATCACTACCATCATCATCACTACCATCACTATCATCATCACCACTACCAGATCAACCTCCACATACACTCAGTGACAGGCATAGCGTATGTCATCATCACTAACATCACCATCACTACCATCACTACCATCATCATCACTACCATCACCATCACTACCATCATCATCACTACCAGATCAACCTCCACATACACTCTGTGACAGGCATAGCATATGTCACCATCATCATCACCATCATCATCACTACCATCACTACCATCATCACTACCATCACCATCACTACAATCACTACCATCATCACTACCATCATCATCACTATCATCATCATCACTACCAGATCAACCTCCACATACACTCTGTTACAGACATAGCGTATGTCATCATCATCATCATCACTACCATCACCATCATCATCACTACCATCATCATCACTACCATCACTACCATCATCATCACCATCACTACCAGTACTACCATCATCATCACTACCAGATCAACCTCCACATACACGCTGTGACAGGCATAGAGTATGTCATCACTACCATCACCAGCATCATCATCACTACCATCACTACCATCATCACTACCATCACTATCATCATCATCACTACCAGATCAACCTCCACATACACTCTGTTACAGGCATAGCATATGTCACCATCATCATCATCACTACCATCATCACTACCATCACCATCACTACCATCACTACCATCACCATCACTACCATCACTACCATCATCACCATCATCAACATCATCAACATCATCACTACCATCATCATCACTACCATCATCACTACCATCATCATCACTACCAGATCAACATCCACATACACGCTGTTACAGGCAAAGCGTATGTCACCATCACTACCATCACCATCACTACCATCACTACCATCATCATCACTACCAGATCAACCTCCACATACACGCTGTGACAGGCATAGCGTATGTCATCACTACCATCACCAGCATCATCATCATCACTATCAACATCATCATCATCATCACCATCATCACTACCATCCGTCTCCAGATCAACATCTACATACACGCTGATACAGACATAGCGTATGTCATCACTACCATCACCATCACTACCAGATCAACCTCCACATACACTGTTACAGGCATAGCGTATGTCATCACTACCATCACCAGCATCATCACCACCATCACATCACCACCATCACCATCACTACCATCATCACTACCATCCGTCTCCACATCAACCTCTACATACAAGCTGTTACAGACATAGCATATGTCATCACTACCACTACCATCACGTGTCTCACCACGTGTCTCCCCACGTGTCTCCCCACGTGTCTCCCCACGTGTCTCACCGCGTGTCTCACCGCGTGTCTCACCGCGTGTCTCACCACGTGTCTCACCACGTGTCTCACCACGTGTCTCACCACGTGTCTCACCACGTGTCTCACACGTGTCTCACCACGTGTCTCACCACGTGTCTCACCACGTGTCTCACCACGTGTCTCACCACGTGTCTCACCACGTGTCTCACCACGTGTCTCACCACGTGTCTCACCACGTGTCTCACCACGTGTCTCCCCACGTGTCTCCCCACGTGTCTCCCCACGTGTCTCACCACGTGTCTCACCACGTGTCTCACCACGTGTCTCACCACGTGTCTCACCACGTGTCTCCCCACGTGTCTCCCCACGTGTCTCCCCACGTGTCTCCCCACGTGTCTCCCCACGTGTCTCACCACGTGTCTCCCCACGTGTCTCACCACGTGTCTCCCCACGTGTCTCCCCACGTGTCTCACCACGTGTCTCACCACGTGTCTCACCACGTGTCTCACCACGTGTCTCTACCACGTGTCTCACCACGTGTCTCCCCCACGTGTCTCACCAAGTGTCTCCCCACGTGTCTCACCACGTGTCTCCCCACGTGTCTCCCCCCGTGTCTCACCACGTGTCTCACCACGTGTCTCCCCACGTGTCTCCCCACGTGTCTCACCACGTGTCTCACCACGTGTCTCACCACGTGTCTCACCACGTGTCTCACCACGTGACTCCCCACGTGTCTCCCCAGGCTGACAGGTCGCATCAAGCCGGTTTTGTTTCCTCTGATGTGGTTCTCTGAGGTGAGCATCACCACAACCACCACCACAACCACCAAAACCACCATCACCACAACCATCACCATCACCACCATCACCACAACCACCACCACCACCACCACCATCACCATCACCACCATCACCACCACCATCACCACAACCACCACCATCACCATCACCACCACCATCACCACCATCACCACCACCATCACCACCACCACAACCACCACCACCACAACCACCACCACCACAACCACCACCACAACCATCACCACCATCACCACCACAACCACCACCACCATCACCACCACAACCACCACCACCATCATCACCACCACCACCACCATCACCACCACCATCACCACCATCACCACCACCATCATCACCACACCACCACCATCATCACCATCATCACCATCACACCATCACCACCACCACCACCATCATCACCACCATCACCACCACTATCACCACCATCACCACAACCATCACCACCATCATCACCACCACCACCATCACCACCATCACCACCACTATCACCACCATCACCACCACCATCACCACCACCATCATCACCACCACCACCATCACCACCATCACCACCACTATCACCACCATCACCACCACCACCACCACAACCATCACCACCATCACCACAACCACCACCATCACCACCACCACCATCACCACCACCACCATCACCACCATCACCATCACCACCATCACCACCATCACCATCACCACCACCATCACCACCACCACCACCACCACCACCCTCACCACCACCACCACCATCACCACCACCACCACCATCATCACCAGCATCACCAAAACCATCAACACCACCACTAACACCACCATCACCATCACCACCACCACCATCACCACCACCATCACCATCACCACCACAACCATCACCACCACCACCACCACCACCACAACCCTCACCACCACCACCATCACCACAACCATCACCACCACAACCATCACCATCACCATCACCACCACAACCATCACCACCATCACCATCACCACCACCACAACCACCACAACCATCATCACCACCATCACCACCACCACCATCACCACCAAAACCATCACCACCACCACCACCATCACCACCACCACCACCAAAACCATCACCACCACCACCATCACCATCACCACCATCATCACCACAACCATCACCACCACCACCAAAACCATCACCACCATCACCACCACCACCATCACCATCACCACCACCACCACCATCACCACCATCACCACCACAACCATCACCACCATCATCACCACAACCATCACCACCACCATCACCACCACAACCACCACCACCAGCATCACCATCACCACCATCACCACCACCACCACCATCACCACCACCATCACCACCACCACCACCACCCAAACCATCACCACCACCATCACCACCAAAACCATCACCACCACTACCGTCAGCACTACCATCACCACCATCACCACAACCATCACCACCACCACCATCACCATCACCACCACAACCATCACCACCACCATCACCACCACCATCACCACCACAACCATCACCACCACCATCACCACCACAACCATCACCACCACCATCACCACCACAACCATCACCACCGCCATCACCACCATCACCACCACCATCATCACCACCACCATGAACCACAACCATCACCACCACAACCACCACCATCACACCACACATCACCACCATCACCACCATCACCATCACCACCATCACCACCTATTACCATCACCACCATCACCACCATCACCACCATCACCATCACCACCATCACCACCATTAACATCACCACCATCACCACCATCACCACCATCACCACCACTATCACCACCATCACCACCACCACCACAACCATCACCACCACCACAACCACCACCATCACCACCATCACCATCACCACCATCACCACCATCACCATTACCACCATCACCACCATCACCACCATCACCACCACCATCACCACCACCAACCACCACCATCACCATCACCACCATCACCACCACCATCACCACCACCATCACCACCATCACCACCACCACCACCACCACCAAAACCATCACCACCACCATCACCACCAAAACCATCACCACCACCACCACCATCAGCACTACCATCACCACCACCATCACCACCACCATCACCACCACAACCATCACCACCACCATCACCACCACCATCACCACCACAACCATCACCACCACCATCACCACCACAACCATCACCACCACCATCACCACCACAACCATCACCACACCATCACCACCATCACCACCACCATCATCACCACCACCACCACAACCATCACCACCACAACCACCACCATCACCACCACCATCACCACCATCACCACCATCACCATCACCACCATCACCACCATTACCATCACCACCATCACCACCATCACCACCATCACCATCACCACCATCACCACCATTATCATCACCACCATCACCACCATCACCACCATCACCATCACCACCATCACCACCATTATCATCACCACCATCACCACCATCACCACCATCACCACCACTATCACCACCATCACAACCACCACCATCACCACCACCACCACCACAACCATCACCACCACAACCACCACCATCACACCACAGCATCACCACCATCACCACCATCACCATCACCACCATCACCACCAGCACCATCACCACCATCACCACCATCACCAACACCATCACCACCACAACCACCACCATCACCATCACCACCATCACCACCACCATCATCACCACCACCACCACCATCACCACCATCACCACCACCACCAAAACCATCACCACCACCATCACCACCAAAACCATCACCACCACCACCACCACCATCAGCACTACCATCACCACCATCACCACAACCATCACCATCACCACCACCACCACCACCATCACCACCACCATCACCACCACAACCATCACCACCATCACCACCACCATCACCACCACAACCATCACCACCACCATCACCACCACAAACCATCACCACCACCATCACCACCACAACCATCACCACCCACCATCACCACCATCACCATCACCATCATCACCACCACCACCACAACCACAACCATCACCACCACAACCACCATCATCACCACCACCATCACCACCATCACCACCATCACCATCACCACCATCACCACCATTACCATCACCACCATCACCACCATCACCACCATCACCATCACCACCATCACCACCATTACCATCACCACCATCACCACCATCACCACCATCACCATCACCACCATCACCACCATCACCATCACCACCATCACCACCATCACCACCATCACCATCACCACCATCACCACCATTACCATCACCACCATCACCACCATCACCACCACTATCACCCACCATCACCACCACCACAACCATCACCACCATCACCACCATCACCACCACCATCACCACCACCATCACCACCACCACAACCATCACCACAACCACCATCACACCAAAACCATCACCACCACCACCATCAGCACTACCATCACCACCATCACCACAACCATCACCATCACCACCACCACCATCACCACCACCATCACCACCACAACCATCACCACCACCATCACCACCACCATCACCACCACCATCACCACCACCACCACCACCATCACCACCACAACCATCACCACCACCATCACCACCACAACCATCACCACCACCATCACCACCACCACCATCATCACCACCACCACCACAACCACAACCATGACCACCACAACCATCACCACCACCATCACCACCATCACCAGCATTACCATCACCACCATCACCACCATCACCACCATCACCACGATCACCATCACCACCATCACCACCATTACCATCACCACCATCACCACCATCACCACCACTATCACCACCATCACCACCACCACCACAACCATCACCACCACAACCACCACCATCACCACCACCATCACCACCATCCACTACCATTCACCATCACCACCATTCACTATCATTCACCATCACCACCATCCACCACCATCACCACCACCATCACCACACCATCACCACCACCACAACCATCACCACAACCACCATCACCACCACAACCATCACCACCACAACCACCACCATCACCACCACCATCACCACCATCACTATCACCACCATCACCACCATCACCATCACCACCATCACCACCATCACCACCACCATCACCACCACCATCACCACCACCACAACCATCACCACAACCACCATCACCATCACCACCATCACCATCACCACCACCACCATCACCACAACCATCACCATCACCACCGCCACCATCACCACCACCACTATCACCACCACCATCACCACCATCACCATCACCACCATCACCACCATCACCATCACCACCATCACCACCACCACCATCACCACCACCATCACCACCATCACCACCACCACCAGCACCACCACCATCACCATCACCACCATCACCACCACCACCATCACCACCACCATCACCACCATCATCACCACCATAACCATCACCACCACCATCACCACCACCATCACCACCACAACCATCACCACCACCATCACCAACACCACCATCACCACAACCATCACCACCACCATCACCACCATCACCACCACCATCACCACCATCACCACCACCATCACCACCACAACCATCACCACCACAACCATCACCATCACCACCAACACCACCATCACCACAACCATCACCACCACCATCACCACCATCACCACCACCACCACCACCACAACCATCACCACCACCATCACCACCATGCACCACCACCATCATCACTACCACCACCATCACCATCACCACCATCACCACCATCACCATCACAACCACCACCATCACCACCATCACCACCATCACCACCACAACCACCACCATCACCACCATCACCACCATCACCACCACAACCATCACCACCACCATCACCACCACAACCATCACCATCACCACCATCACCACCATCACCATCATTACCATCACCACCACCATCACCACCATCACCATCACAACCACCACCATCACCACCATCACCACCATCACCACCACAACCACCACCATCACCACCATCACCACCATCACCACCACCACCATCACCACCATCACCACCACTATCACCACCATCACCACCACCACCAGAACCATCACGACCATCACCATCACCACAACCACCACCATCACCACCACCACCATCACCACCATCACCATCACGACCATCACCACCATCACCACCATCACCACCATCACCACAACCATCACCATCACCACCATCACCAACACCACAACCATCACCACCACCATCACCACCACCACCACCACCATCACCACCAATATCATCACCATCACCACCACCACAACCATCACCACCACCATCACCACCATCACCACCACCATCACCACCACAACCATCACCACCACAACCATCACCACCACAACCATCACTACCAACACCACCATCACCACCACCATCACCACCACAACCATCACCACCACAACCATCACTACCAACACCACCATCACCACAACCATCACCACCACCATCACCACCATCACCACCACCATCACCACCACCACCACCAATATCATCACCATCACCACCACCACAACCATCACCATCACAACCATCACCACCACCACCATCACCACCATCACCACCACCACCACCATCACCACCACCACCATCACCACCACAACCATCACCATCACCACCATCACCACCACAACCATCACCATCACCACCATCACCACCATCACCATCACCACCACCATCACCACCACCATCACCACCACAACCATCACCACCACAACCATCACCACCACAACCATCACCATCACCAACATCACCACCACCATCACCACCACAACCACAACCATCACCATCACCACCACCATCACCACCACAACCATCACACCATCACCATCACCACCACCACAACCATCACCACCACCACCACCATCACCACCACCACCACCATCACCACCATCATCACCACCACCACAACCATCACCATCACCACCACCATCACCACCACAACCATCACCACCACCATCACCACCACCACCATCACCACCATCACCATCACCACCACCACAACCATCACCACCACCATCACCACCATCACCACCACCAGCACCACCACCACCATCACCATCACCACCACCACCACCAGCACCACCAGCACCATCACCACCACCACAACCATCACCATCACCACCACCATCACCACCACAACCATCACCACCACCATCACCACCATCACCACCACCATCACCACCATCACCATCACCACCACCACAACCCATCACCACCATCACCACCACCATCATCACCACCACCACAACCAGCACCAGCACCACCACCATCACCACCACAACCAGCACCACCACCATCACCACCACCACCATCACCACCACCATCACCACCACCACAACCATCACCACCACCATCACCACCATCACCACCACCATCACCACCACCACCATCACCACCACCACCACCACCAGCACCACCATCACCATCACCACCACCACAACCATCACCATCACCACCACCATCACCACCACAACCATCACCACCACCATCACCACCATCACCACCATCACCACCACCATCACCACCACCACCATCACCATCACCACCACCACAACCATCACCACCATCACCACCATCACCATCACCACCACCACAACCATCACCATCACCACCACCATCACCACCACAACCATCACCACCACCATCACCACCATCACCACCATCACCACCACCATCACCACCACCACCATCACCATCACCACCACCACCACCACCATCACCACCATCACCACCATCACCATCACCACCACCACAACCATCACCATCACCACCACCATCACCACCACAACCATCACCACCATCACCACCACCATCACCACCACCACAACCATCACCACCACCATCACCACCACAACCATCACCACCACCACCATCACCATCACCACCACCACAACCATCACCACCACCACCATCACCACCACCACCATGACCACCATCACCATCACCACCACCACAACCATCACCATCACCACCACCATCACCACCACAACCACCACCACCACCATGACCACCATCACCATCACCACCACCACAACCATCACCATCACCACCACCATCACCACCACAACCATCACCACCACCATCACCACCATCACCACCATCACCACCACCATCACCACCACCACCATCACAATCACCACCACAACCATCACCACCACCACCACCATCACCACCATCACCACCATCACCATCACCACCACCACCACAACCATCACCACCACCATCACCACCACAACCATCACCACCACCATCACCACCATCACCACCATCACCACCACCATCACCACCATCACCATCACCACCACCACAACCATCACCACCACCACCATCACCACCATCACCATCACCACCACCACAATCATCACCATCACCACCACCATCACCACCACAACCATGACCACCACCATCACCATCATCACCACCATCACCACCACCATCACCACCACCACCATCACCACCACCACCCACCACCACAACCATCACCATCACCACCACCATCACCACCACAACCATCACCACCACCATCACCACCATCACCACCATCACCACCATCACCACCACCATCACCACCACCACCATCACCATCACCACCACCACAACTATCACCACCACCACCATCACCACCATCACCATCACCACCACCACCACAACCATCACCATCACCACCACCAGCACCACCACAACCATCACCACCACCATCACCACCATCACCACCATCACCACCACCATCACCACCATCACCATCACCACCACCACAACCATCACCACCACCACCATCACCACCATCACCACCACTATCACCACCATCACCACCACAACCATCACCACCATCACCACAACCACCACCATCACCACCACCATCACCACCATCACCATCACCACCATCACCACCATCACCACCACCATCACCACCACCACCATCACCATCACCACCACCACAACCATCACCACCACCACCACCATCACCACCACCATCACCACCACCACCATCACCATCACCACCACCACAACCATCACCATCACCACCACCATCACCACCACAACCATCACCACCACCATCACCACCATCACCACCATCACCACCACCATCACCACCACCACCATCACCATCACCACCACAACCATCACCACCACCACCATCACCACCATCACCACCACCATCACCACCACCACCATCACCACCACAACCATCACCATCACTACCATCACCACCATCACCACCATCACCACCACCATCATCACCATCACCACCACTACCACCACCCTCACCACCACCATCACCACCATCACCACCACCACCATCACCACCACCATCACCACCATCACCACCATCACCACCACCATCACCACCACCATCACCACCACCACCACCATCACCACCATCACCATCACCACCACCACCATCATCACCACCATCACCACCATCACCACCACCACCATCACCATCACCACCACCCCCACCATCACATCACCACCATCACCATCACCACCACCCTCACCACCACCATCACCACCATCACCACCACCACCATCACCACCACCACCCTCACCACCATCATCACCACCACTATCACCACCACCATCACCAACATCACCACCACCATCACCACCACCACCATCACCACCACCACCATCACCACCACCATCACCACCATCACCACCATCACCCTCATCACCACCATCACCACCACCATCACCACCACCCTCACCACCATCATCACGTGACGTGTGTAGTCTGGTCACATGACCTTGCCGGAGCTGTCCATGCTCTGGCGATCTCTGGTGCTCACCCCGCTGGTGGTGGAGGTGGTGAGCATCCTGCTGGTCCTCACCGGGGCCACGCTCACCCTCGCCCTGCTGCTAACCGCCGCTCACCAGCGCCGGAGCCGCTCACCGCCCGGGGGAGGGGACGGGAAGAGGTGAGCGGTGACCGCTCACCAATCACTCACCAATCACTCACCACTCACTCACTCACTCACCACTCACCACTCACTCACTCACCAATCACTCACCAATCACTCACCACTCACTCACTCACCAATCACTCACCACTCACTCACCACTCACTCACTCACTCACCAATCACTCACCAATCACTCACCAATTACTCACTCACCAATCACTCACCAATCACTCACCACTCACTCACTCACCACTCACCACTCACTCACTCACTCACCAATCACTCACCAATCACTCACCAATTACTCACTCACCAATTACTCACCAATCACTCCACCAATCACTCACCAATCACTCACCACTCACTCACTCACCACTCACCACTCACTCACTCACCACTCACTCACTCACTCACCACTCACTCACCACTCACTCACTCACCACTCACCACTCACTCACTCACTCACCAATCACTCACCAATCACTCACCACTCACTCACCAATCACTCACCACTCACTCACCAATCACTCACCACTCACTCACCACTCACTCACCAATCACTCACCACTCACTCACCAATCACTCACCACTCACTCACTCACCACTCACTCACTGACCAATCACTCACTCACCAATCACTCACTCACTCACCACTCACTCACTCACCACTCACTCACTCACCACTCACGCACCACTCACTCACTCACCCACTCACTCACTCACCACTCACTCACTCACCACTCACTCACCACTCACTCACCACTCACTCACCACCACTCACTCACTCACCACTCACTCACCAATCACCACTCACCAATCACTCACTCACCACTCACCAATCACTCACCACTCACTCACCACTCACTCACCACTCACTCACTCACCAATCACTCACCAATCACCACCACTCACTCCACTCACCACTCACTCACACTCACCACTCACTCACCACTCACTCACTCACCACTCACCACTCACCAATCACTCACTCACCACTCACCAATCACTCACCACTCACTCACCAATCACTCACTCACTCACCACTCACTCACCACTCACTCACTCACTCACCACTCACATCACCACTCACCACTCACTACCCACTCACTCACCACTCACTCACTCACTCACCACTCACATCACCACTCACTCGTCACTCCACCACTCACCACTCACTCACCAATCACTCCACTCACCACTCACTCACCACTCACTCACTCACTCACCACTCACTCACCACTCACTCACTCACCACTCACTCACCACTCCACTCACTCACCACTCACTCACTCACCACTCACCTATCACTCACCACTCACTCACCACTCACCCCACCACTCACTCACCACTCACTCACCACTCACTCACCACTCACTCACTCACCACACACTCACCAATCACTCACCACTCACTCACTCACCACTCACTTCCACTCACTCACCACTACTCACCACCACTCACCACTACTCACTCACCACTACTCACCACCACTCACCACCACTCACTACTCACCACTACTCACCACTCACTCACCACTACTCACTCACCACTACTCACCACTACTCACCACTACTCACTCACTCACCACTACTCACCACCACTCACCACCACTACTCACTACCACTCACCACTACTCACTCACTCACCACTACTCACTCACTCACCACTACTCACCACTACTCACCACCACTCACCACTACTCACCACCACTCACCACTACTCACCACTACTCACCACTACTCACCACCACTACTCACCAATACTCACCACTACTCACTCACTCACCACTACTCACCACCACTACTCACCACCACTCACCACTACTCACCACTACTCACTCACTCACCACTACTCACCACTACTCACCACCACTACTCACCAATACTCACCACTACTCACTCACTCACCACTACTCACCACCACTACTCACCACTACTCACCAATACTCACCACCACTCACCACTACTCACCACTACTCACCACCACTCACCACTCACTCACCACTACTCACCACCACTCACCACTACTCACCACCACTACTCACCACTACTCACCACTACTCACCACCACTACTCACCACTACTCACCACTACTACTCACCACCACTACTCACCACTACTCACCACCACATCTCACTCACCACTACTCACCACTACTCACTCACTCACCACTACTCACTACCACTCACCACCACTCACCACTACTCACTCACCACTCCTCACCACTACTCACCACTACTCACCCACTCACTCACCACTCACTCACTACTCACTACACTCACCAATCACTCACCAATCACTCACCACTCACTCACCACTCACTCACTCACTCACCAATCACCACTCACCAATCACTCACTCACCACTCACCAATCACTCACCACTCACTCACCAATCACTCACTCACCACTCACTCACCACTCACTCACTCACTCACCACTAACTCACAACTCACTCACCACTCACTCACCCACTCACTCACCACTTCACTCACTCACTCACCACTCACTCACCACTCACTCACCACTCACTCGTCACTCACCACTCACTCACCAATCACTCACGTCACCACTCACTCACCACTCACTCACTCACCACTCACCACACCACTCACTCACTCACTCACCACTCACTCACTCACCACTCACCAATCACTCACTCACCACTCACTCACCACTCACCCACCACTCACTCACCACTCACTCACTCACCACACACTCACCAATCACTCACCACTCACTCACCACTCACTTCCACTCACTCACCACTACTCACCACTACTCACCACTACTCACCACCACTCACCACTCACTACTCACCACTACTCACCACTACTCACCACTACTCACCACTCACTCACCACTACTCACCACTACTCACTCACTCACCACTACTCACTCACTCACCACTACTCACCACTACTCACCAACACTCACCACTACTCACCACTACTCACTCACCACTACGCACTACTACTCACCACTACTCACTCACCACTACGCACCACTACTCACCACTACTCACCACCACTCACCACTACTCACTCACTCACCACCACTCACCAATACTCACCACTACTCACCACCACCACTCACCACTACTACTCACCACTACTCACCACTCACTCACCACTACTCACCACCACTCACTCACCACTACTCACCACTACTCACCACTACTCACCACCACCACTCACCACTACTCACCACTACTCACCACTACTCACCACCACCACTCACCACCACTCACCACTACTCACCACCACTCACTCACCACTCACTCACCACTACTCACCACTCACCACTACTCACCACTACTCACCACTACTCACCACCACTCACCATTACTCACCACTACACTCACCACTACTCACCACCACTCACCACCACTCACCACTACCCACCACCACTCACCACCACTCACCACCACTCACCACCACTCACCACTACTCACCACCACTCACCACCACTCACCACCACTCACCACTACTCACCACCACTCACCACCACCGCTGTGTGTGTCGGTGCGCAGTGCGAGTGAGACAACACCACTGCTGCAGGGCTGAAGGAGACACGGAGAGAGACACGGAGACACGTGGAGACACGGAGACACACGGAGAGACACACGGATACACGGAGAGAGACACGGAGACACACGGAGAGACACACGGAGACACGGAGAGAGACATGGAGACACACGGAGACACACGGAGACACACGGGACACGGAGACACGCGGAGACACGGAGAGAGAGACATGGAGACACACGGAGAGACACACGGAGACACACGGAGACAGAGAGAGACACGGAGAAACACGGAGACACATGGAGACACACAGAGACACGGAGAGAGACATGGAGACACACGGAGACACACGGAGACACACGGGGACACGGAGAGAGACACGTGGAGACACGGAGACACACGGAGACACACGGGGACACGGAGAGAGACACGGAGACACACGGAGACACAGGGAGACATGGAGACACGGAGAGAGACATGGAGAGACACGGAGAGAGACAGAGAGACACACGGAGAGACACGTAGACAGAGAGCAACGCGGAGACACATGGAGACACACGGAGACAGAGATAGAGAGACAGAGAGACACAGAGAGAGACACGGAGACAGAGAGACATGGAGAAACGTGGAGACACGTGGAGACACACATGGAGACACGAGGAGACACACGGAGACACAGAGAGAGACAGAGAGACACGGAGAGAGACAGAGACAGACAGAGACAGAGAGAGACAGAGAGACACAGAGACACGTGGAGACACATGGAGACAGAGAGAGAGACACGGAGACACGTGGAGACACGGAGACACACAGAGACACGGAGAGAGACATGGAGACACACGGAGACACAGAGAGAGGACATGGAGAGACACGGACAGAGACACGTGGAGACACGTGGAGACACACGGAGACACAGAGAGAGACAGAGAGACACGGAGAGAGACACACGGAGACAGAGATAGAGAGACAGAGAGACATGGAGAGAGACACGGAGACACGTGGAGACACACGGAGACACACGGAGACACAAAGAGAAACACACGGAGGACAGAGAGTGAGACAGAGAGACATGGAGAGAGACACGGAGACACACAGAGACACGGAGAGAGACATGGAGACACACGGAGACACAGAGAGAGACATGGAGAGACACGGAGAGAGACACACGGAGACAGAGATAGAGAGACAGAGAGACATGGAGAGAGACACGGAGACACGTGGATACACACGGAGACACACGGAGACACAGAGAGAGAGACACGCGGTGACACGTGGAGAGACACGGAGACACACGGAGACACGGAGAGAGACCCGGAGAGACACGGAGACACGTGGAGAGACACGGAGACACGGAGACACACAGAGAGACACGGAGACACACGGAGACAGGAGGAGAGACGAGGAGACACACGGAGACACGTGGAGACACGGAGAGAGACACGGAGACACACAAAGAGACACAGAGACACACGGAGACACAGAGAGACACGGAGAGACACGGAGACACGTGGAGAGACACGGAGACACGGAGACACACAGAGAGACACGGAGACACGAGGAGAGACGAGGAGACACACGGAGACAGAGAGAGACACGGAGAGACACGGAGACACACAGAGAGACACGGAGACACACGGAGACACGAGGAGAGAAGAGGAGACACACGTAGACACACGGAGACACAGAGAGAGACACACGGAGACAGAGAGAGAGACAGAGAGACATGGAGAGAGACACGAAGACACACGGAGAGAGACACAGAGACACCCGGAGACACGTGGAGAGACAGAGAGACATGGAGAGACAGGGAGACACGCGGAGACACGTGGAGACACGGAGACACGTGGAGAGACACGGAGAGAGACAGAGAGAGACACGGAGAGAGACAGAGACAGAGAGAGACAGAGACAGAGAGAGACAGAGAGACGCGGAGACACGTGGAGAGACACGGAGACACGAGGAGAGACGCGGAGACACACGGAGACAGAGAGAGACGGAGAGACACGGAGAGACAGAGAGAGACAGAGAGAGACAGAGACAGAGACAGACAGAGAGAGACAGAGAGACGCGGAGACACGCGGAGACACGTGGAGAGACACGGAGACACGTGGAGACACACGGAGACACGAGGAGAGACACGAGGAGAGACACGGAGACACAGAGAGAGACAGAGAGACACGGATAGAGACACGGAGAGACACAGAGAGAGACGCGGAGACACGCGGGGAGACGAGGGGAGACGCGGAGACACGTCGTGAGAATTGTATTGTTTTTTTATTATTTTATTGTTTCCCTTCTACGTGGTGACTTTACTGAAAGAGCCAAGAGTGTGATAGGACACCCCTCCCGCTGATATACCCCTCCTGTTGATATACCCCTCCTGTTGATATATCCCTCCTGTTGATATACCCCTCCTGTTGATATACCCCTCCTGTTGATATACCCCTCCTGTTGATATACCCTCCTGTTGATATTCCCCTCCTGTTGATATACCCCTGCCGCTGATACACCCCTCCTGTTGATACACCCTGCCGCTGATATACCCCTGCCGCTGATACACCCCTCCTGTTGATATACCCTGCCTCTGATATACCCCTGCCGCTGATACACCCCTCCTGTTGATATACCCTGCCGCTGATATACCCCTGCCGCTGATACACCCCTGCCGCTGATACACCCCTCCTGTTGATATACCCCTCCTGTTGATATACCCCTGCCGCTGATACACCCCTCCTGTTGATATACCCTGCCGCTGATATACCCCTGCCGCTGATATACCCCTGCCGCTGATATACCCCTGCCGCTGATATACCCCTGCCGCTGATACACCCCTCCTGTTGATATACCCCTCCTCGCTGATAAACCCCTCCTGTTGATATACCCCTGCCGCTGATATACCACTCCTGTTGATATACCCCTGCCGTTAATATACCCCTCCAGTTGATATACCCCTCCTGTTGATACACCCCTCCTGTTGATATACCCTGCCGCTGATATACCCATCCTCGCCACGAGTCCTCACTGAAGCTGCCGCACTCGTTCATCCCAAATCGTCGCCTCCATCGCCTGGCACCTCAGCGCTAACCCCCTGCCCCAACACACACACACACACACGTACACACAGACACACACACGTACACACACACACACGTACACACACACACACAGACACACACATGTACACACACACACATTTACACACACAAACACGTACACACACACACACGTACACACACACACAACAACAACAACAACCGCCATTCGCCACTAAGTGGCGGTGATGTCACCACGACGCTTGTGCCAGGCTATGTGCACCCTGAGGCCACGTGAAGTGTCGAACGCCCGCTGGCAGGAGGTCACGGGGCAGACCCAGGTGCCACGGGTCGACTGACTGAGATGACTGGCTGATGCACCACCTGTGCCCCCTACTGTGCCAACCTGCTGTGCTTTAGCCACCCGGCGCTCCGCTCGTTGTTCTGAGCGTCGCTCCTCTGCCCTCCGTTGTTGTTGGAGGGCGACTGCCTCCAACTGCCCAGTAGCATCCTTCACGATCCTCCTCCACAGAGGCCGATCTTGACACCGTTGGTACCGGTCATCGGCAAGTCCACTCAGCTCCACGTCCTCCTGTACCACGTCACTCCATCTCTTCTCTAGCCCGTGCCGCGACCGCTTAGCCCCCTCAATCCGGGCGAACAAAAGCTGTTTCGGCATGCGGTGGCTGGGCATGCGGGCTACATGACCCAGCCATCGCAGCCTTGCCCGCCGGAGGAGATCACCGATGGGACCTTGCCCAGATCTTTCAAGGATTTGTGAGCTCCTCACACAATCCAGTCTGGTTAAACCCAGGATGGATCGTAGGCAGGCCAGCCTAAATGTTTCTAACCGGCGAAGATGTTCCATTAGGGGGGTCCACGTTTCGCAAGCGTAGAGAAGGGAGGGAATGACCGTGGCCGAGAAAGACCTGAAGCTTAGTGCGGAGCGACAGACCAGGTAGCTTCCACACAGCGTTACGCAACCGATGAAAAGATATTGCCGCTCGACTGATTCGGAGTGAGACCTCTGCTGTTAAACTGGAGCCGGTCATAAGCACACTGCCCAGGTATGGGAAACTCTCCACTCTCTCCACAACTGCCCCATCACCGATTGGGAGTTGTGGGGGTGGAGTGTCCGATGGTACAAAATACCCAGGCAGGTGCTTAGTTTTGGTGGGGCTGATGGTAAGGCCCCACCTCTTAGTGGCAAGCTCCAGTCTCACACACACACACACGTACACACACACGTACACACACACCTGCTTGTCCTCCATTGCACCCGCTCAACTGCGTACACTGCGTACATCTCTACAGTAGTGTCAGATACTATCTGACTACTATGGAATCAGTAGTATTATTACTATTGAGTCAGGAGCATCTACTGACTATAGTAGTATTTACTGACTATAGTCGTATATACTGACTCTATAGTAGTATCTACTGACTATAGTAGTATATACTGACTCTATAGTAGTATATACTGACTCTATAGTAGTATATTCTGACTCTACAGTAGTATCTACTGACTCTATAGTAGTATCTACTGACTATAGTAGTATTTACTGACTATAGTAGTATATACTGACTCTATAGTAGTATCTATTGACTCTATAGTAGTATATTCTGACTCTATAGTAGTATATGCTGACTATAGTAGTATCTACTGACTATAGTAGTATCTACTCTCACTACAGTAGTATCTACTGACTCTACAGTAGTATCTACTGACTCTATAGTAGTATCTACTGACTCTATAGTAGTATCTACTGACTCTATAGTAGTATCTAGTGACTATAGTAGTATCTACTGACTCTACAGTAGTATATACTGACTCTATAGTAGTATCTACTGACTCTATAGTAGTATCTACTGACTCTAAAGTAGTACCTACTGACTCTATAGTAGTATCTACTGACTCTACAGTAGTATATACTGACTCTACAGTAGTATCTACTGACTCTATAGTAGTATCTACTGACTCTACAGTAGTATCTACTGACTCTATAGTGGTAACTACTGACTCTACAGTAGTATCTACTGACTCCATAGTAGTATTTACTGACTCTATAGTAGTATATACTGACTATAGTAGTATCTACTGACTCTATAGTAGTATCTACTCTCACTA